CTGTAATTTCAATGTTTCTAAATAGCAATCGTTATGCTACTGTTTCCTGATGTTTAAATTTTAGACATTTTCAACTGATTTTCTGTTTCTGACCATGAAGATTTAATTTTCTTATACTACAATGAGATATCACACCTGGTATTACAGAGTGGCAATTAATAACAACAAAAAAAGAACTAGAAATAACAAGTGTTGGTGAGGATGTGGAGAAAAGGGAACCCTTGTGCACTGTTGCTAGATATGTAAATAGGTATAGTCCCTATAGAAAGCAGTGTGGAATTTCCTCAAAAAATTAAAAATAGAACTACCATATGATCTAGCAATTCCATTTCTGGGTATTTACACATTAAAAAAACCCACTAATTCAAAAAATATATTTGCCCTCCCCACATTCACTGCAGCATTATTTACAAAAGCCACAATATGGAAACAAAGTGTCCATCGATGGATGAACAGATAAAGAAGATGTGATACATAAATATACATATTATTCAGCCATAAAAAGAATGAAATCTCAATAGCAATGATATGAATAGACTTTAAGGGCATTATGCTAAGTGAAGCGGGTCAGACACAGAAATGCTATAAGATCTCACTTGTATGCAGGCTCTTTAAAAACAAAAGAACAGATCATAGTTGCCAGAGGTGAGATGGGACGTGGGTAGTGATGGATGAAGAGAGTCAAAAGGTACAAACTCCAGTTATGACACAAGTAAGTCATGGCTAACATTGTATCAGTTTCAGGTGTATTGATTCGATATTTGTATAATTTGTGATGGGATCACCACAATAATTTATATCACCACAATAATTTATTTACCTAACCTTTTGTTGAACTATTTATTTCTATCTTACCTTTAACTTCCAAGATCTCTATTTTTCTCTGATTATTACTTGAACATAGCACTTGATCTTTGTTTTGTGAATAAAATAAAACATTTCATGAACTAAGACATTAATTATAGTTTTAAAGTTTGTTATTAGTCTCTCTCCTCCAAATGCCTTTTCTATCGCAGTTGTTGTCATCAGGGTCTTATATAATATTCTCCTGAAATGTCTACAGATCCTGGTTCTCCTTTCTGATTTTAGAGTAAGACAGGTCTAGGTAGATGGATGGAGCCTTACTAATGTTTAATGAGCAGAACTCAGATATTTCAGGGATAGAAGGCAACTATTGGATCTACAGGCCTTTTTCTTAGGTTGGATGACTTCTTAGAGTGGCTTCTTCCAACTCTTGACTACAGGAGTGTGAACACCTGCACAGGTAATGAAGCCAAGGGTGTCCTCACGTAGTATACAGCCCTATCGTCTGTCATCAGTTCAGTTCAGTCGCTCAGTTCTGTCTGACTCTTTGCGACCCCATGGCCTGCAGCACACCAGGCCTCCCTGTCCATCACCAACTCCCAGAACTTGCTCAAACTCATGTCCTTGAGTTGGTGGTGCCATCCGACTGCCTCATCCTCTGTCGTCCCCTTCTCCTGCCCTCACTCTTTTCCAGCATCAGGGTCTTTTCCAATGAGTCGGCTCTTCACATCAGATGGCCAAAGTACTGGAGCTTCAGCTTCAGCATCAGTCCTTCCAATGAATATTCAGGACTGATTTCCTTTAGGATGGACTGGTTGGATCTCCTTGCAGTCCAAGGGACTCTCAAAAGTTTTCTCCAACACCACAGTTCAAAAGCATCAATTCTTCTGCACTCAGCTTTCTTTATAGTCCAACTTTCACATCCACACATGACTATTGGAAAAACAATAGCTTTGACTAGATGGACCTTTGTTGGCAAAGTAATGTCTCTGTTTTTTAATATGCTGTCTAAGTTGGTCATAGCTTTTCTTCCAAGGAGCAAGTGTCTTTTAATTTCATGGCTGCAGTCACCATCTGCAGTGATTTTGGAGCCCCCCAAAATAAAGTCTCTCACTGTTTCCATTGTTTCCCCATCTATTTGCCATGAAGTGATGGGACTGGATGCCATGATCTTAGTTTTCTGAATGTTGAGTTTTAAGGCAACTTGTCACTCTCCTCTTTCACTTTCAACAAGAGGCTCTTTTGTTCCTCTTTGCTTTCTGCCATAAGGGTGGTGTCATCTGCATATCTGAGATTATTGATATTCCTCCCAGCAATCTTGATTCTAGCTTGTGCTTCATCCAGCCCAGCATTTCAAACGATGTACTCTGCATATAAGTTAAATAAGCAGGGTGACAATATACAACCTTGACATATTCCCTTCCCAATTTGGAACCAGTCTGTTGTTCCATGTCCGGTTCTAACTGTAGCTTCTTGACCTGCATCCTCTGTCATCTTATGAACTAAAGCCCAGAGTCCATCTTCTCCAGAGAATACACCTCCCATACTCCACCAGATAGCAAAGGGCAGTCTCTGGCTGTGTAAAGCTGAGGAAAGGATCTGGGGACATAGCTGTAATCCTTCTATTCAAATCTCCCTTCGGTCATCAGAAGGACCCAGAACCTCCAGTTCCCGAGTCTCTGGTTTCTGAGGTGTGACCAGGCTACACTCTTCTGCCCTCCCCACTACTTCCCATCATACTAGAAGGATGGGTCTCAGCCTCATTCAGTTTGTGCGGTCAGTTACCATTCATTCATCCTCTTTCCATCTTCCAAATCTTTGTGGGTGTTTCTTCCCTGCCATGAGAGCCTAACCTGTTTTTGTCCCTTATAGGCTGCCATTCACTCTAGTCTTTTACTATCATGTTAGTAAACTTTCTGGAGGGACAGATCTAAGTGGTATATTCAGGCCACCATGCTACACTAAAGAACACTACAGAGCTCTACATTCCTCCCTGGGTGAGCCAGGTTTTTATCTGCACCCCCAACTCTGCTCTTGATGTTCCCCTACTTTCTTGTCTTTATTTGTCTCCTCTCTTTAATTTTCCAGTCCTTCACAGACCTCCAAGATTAGGGTCTCCTAGGTCTTCCCTGTACATACTGTGTATGTCTCTGGCCTGACATACCTACATAGATCACAGTGTGCTGGACTGATCTACTTGTATAGCTGTCTCCTTCCCTAGACAAGATATTAAGCAGGCAAGGACCATCTTATCCAAAGCTCTGTCTCCAGTGTGGGGAAAACCATCTGGCACATAATAGGTGCTCACCGATACTGCTCAACTGACCCATTTCCCCTAAGCTCCATGTTAGAAGCATCTTCATTCTCAAAGGAGTACAAAAAATACGGCTGTGTTTATTTGCCAACGTCCAAATAAGAAAGGCTAATCAGAGAGCACCAGGAAATAAAAACAGCCAGATGTTTTTCAAAGCAAAAGTCCAGGAATGCAAAATAGCTTGCAACAGGGGTGATGCATGTTTTCCTAGTGATTCGAAATGAAGATATGCTTATTAGGCAGAGAGAGAGATTTAACAGGTTTCTCAGCTAATGCTGCAATTTTAAATCCATTTAAGATAATTTTCTTTATCTTGAATCTATTTTTCTCAGTAACCAGGATACTTAACTGATTTGTACAAAATCCATTTGAAAAAGAAATAATCTAGTCTAAGCAAGGACACACTCTAAATGAAAAAAGAGAGATACCACAAATCTAACAGAAGATGAAGCATCTGTTTGAGAAGCTAAGGAGGACTACTGACTAGAAAATAGGATTATTTCCCCCAGCATCTTGATTTTCCCACAAATCTCTCTTCTCTCTTTCCCAAGGAGAAAAATCTGAGGGCACAGAACAAAGACCTCTCATAAACCAACCAAGATGCAAACAGACTGTTTCAAAGGTAAGAAACTCACACAAAAATTACTTGTTGAAACAATCATAGGATGTACTTTCCCACCTACCAGCTAGGAAAAGCATTATTGAAATGCTAGTTTGGGAAGGGTCAGGTAAAATTCTAACAGTAGCAGAAACTGCTATAAAGTTTCTGGAGGAAAACATCTCTCTGTGTATCTAGAGCCTCCAAAAGTATTGCCACAATGTGATCACAGGATTATACCATTAGAAGTGTGGATTAAGAAAGCGAATGTCTGGACTTCCCTAATGGCGCAGTGGATAAGAGTCCGTCTGCCAATGCAGGTAACACAGGTTCCATCCCTGATCCGGGAAAATCCCACGTGTTGCAGAGTAACTAACCCGTGTGTCACAAGTGCTGAAGCCCATGTGCCTAGAGCCCTTGCTCCACAACAAGAGAAGCCACCAGAATGAGAAGTCTGGGTACCGCAATGAAGAGCAGGCCCGGCTGGCTGCAACCAGACAAGGTCCGAGAGCAGTAATGGAGACCCAGCGCAGCCAAAACCAAATAAATAAAATAAAATTTTTAAAAATGAAAATAAATATCAAATCAACGTACATAAAGATTGGAGAGGGGAAATAGTCATCAGTGTTATTTATAATAGAGAAAATTAGAACTAGATGTATAACAATGATCATAACTAATAACACCAGAAAATGCTTGTGAAATAATGTTGCGTGAAAAAAGGATAAAAGAAATAAAGGTTCATAATTTGCATAGAAAAACAGACTCAAGGACAAGATGCTAAGATTTTACCAGTCACTGCCTCTAGGTCATGAGGTCATGGTAGTTTTTTTTTTATTTTTACTTAAAAATTCTTTGGATTATGTTTCTGTACTACTTGTATTAAAATTTTAAAAATTTACTTACTTTATTTTCATAATCAAGAGCACTATTTACTGATTTTGTTTGTGTGTATATGTGCTTAGTCATGGCCGACTCTTTGTGACTCCATGAACTTTAGCCTGCCAGGCTCCTCTGTCCATAGGATTCCCGGGTAAGATACTGGACAGGGTTGCCATTTCTTTCTCCAAGGGATCTTCCCAACCCAGGGAGGTACCTACATCTCCTGCGTTGGCAGGCAGATTCATCACCACTGAGCCAGCTGGGAAGCCTCATTTATTGATTACGGAGGGGACTCGTGAGATAAAAGCTTCTCCACTAGTTACAAAACAGCGGGAGATAATGTCACAGACACGCGTTTACACTACAAAGCCAACTCCTCTGAGCGGCTGAATGAGAACTTACTTGGTGGGACGATAATCCGGAATGGAACGATCCAGTGAAATTTTTTCACTGAGGTAGGAATTGTAGCCATACTTCTCATGGGGCCCCCTGGCCTTCTCTTCTTCAGCAGGGGAGAGGGTGGCAGGAAGGCCCCCTTTGCCCCGTCCACCATAACCTTCAATGAGCCCAAGGGATTTGGATAAACCTAGAAAGAGAGGGAGGGGAGCAAAAGAATTAGTTGAAAACCACCATACCAGGATATGTTACTCAGGCTAAGACACAGCTTCAGTGGAAATTCTAACATTACCTGTCACAGAAAAGATTATGCTCTCAACTTATCAATACTGGGAATATGCCCCGAGTACATTTAAACTGAGAGGAAGGGGACTTCCCTGGTGGCCACGGGTCAAGACTTCACCTTCCATTGCAGGGGGCGAGAGTTTGATCCCTGATCATGGACCTAAGATCCCATGTGCCTTGGGGCAAAAAAAAAAAAGGACACCAAAAAATGGTGTCCTTTACATTCAATACTGTAAAAATTGAATAAAGACTAGAAAAAACAATTAAAAATTAGATGAAGAGGGACGTCAAAGCAATGACAAAGGTCCGTATAGTCAAAGCTATGGTTTTTCCAGTAGTCACGCACAGATGTGAGAGCTGGACCATAAAGAAGGCTAAGCACAAAAGCATCAACACTTCCCAACTGTGTTGGTGGAGAAGACTCTTGGACAGCAAGGAGATCAAACCAGTCAATCCTAAAGGTAATCAAGCCTGAATACTCATTGGAAGGACTGATGCTGAAGCTCCAATACTTTGGCCACCTGATGTGAAGAGCTCACTCACTGGAAAAGACCCTGATTCTGGGAAAGACTGAAGGCAGGAGGAGAAGGGGACGACAGAGGATGAGAAGGTTGGATGGCATCACTGACTCAGTGGACGTGAATGTGAGCTAACTTCAGGAGACAGTGAAGGAGAGGGAAGCCTGGTGTGTTATAGTTCATGGGGTCACAAAGAGTCTGACATGACTGAGCAACTGAATAACAAGAACAAAATAATTATGAGGTGTGGGGTTAAGGCTGATCACACTCAGGAAGAACTTCTCCCTCTTTTTGGGAACTAGGGTGGATCAGGTATCAGGATGGTGTCTATAAAGGGGAGAGACTGCCAAAAGCAGGGCACATGTGGACCAAAAATGGGCAGAACAGGCCCTGTCATCCCTGCCCAATTTCCTGTCTTCATGAGCAATTACCACAAGGCGGGATATTCCAGGAGATGCCCGGTAACAACGCAGAACAAGAACAGCCAGTAATAAGGAACTGCCAGACAGCAGGTGTTTTTGCTTCATTTGAACAGAGAATAATATACAGATTGATTTTATCATGACTTTAAAGTGTGTAACCGTCTGACACTGTTCTATACCTAATGGTTTTATTTAAATCTCATCTAAATGGCAAAAGGAAATACAAAAGTGTTTGAGAATAAATCACAGAGAAGAAAAGCCCATAAGGGTGATAACCGAGCCAAGTAGAGTAGGAGGCCTCTGTAACAAGCTTCACTGAGCAATTGCGGGTTCCGGGGATGGTGGCAGCTTTATACCTATTGTTCCATTTATACGATAAACAGCTTGATGGGTAATTTTTAAATCCTACAGTTTACAGGAGGTTTTATTTCTTGGCTTGAAAACTTTTGTTGTGAAGGGCTCTTATTCTTTTTCACTGTTTCAAATGTTCAAGCTACTCTGTCCACCCTCAGGTGTGCTCACATGCACGTGCACGCACGCACACACACACACACACACACACACACACACTTGGTCCACAAAAGTCCTACTGCTACCACTGGTAGACCATGGACCAGGAGTGTCAAGAGCAGCCTCAGCTTTCATGATGGGCAGCCCACGGAGCCGAGGAGGACGCTGATCTCCCAGGAAAGCATTCCCAAGCAAGTTAAAGACCAGTAAGTCTGCTCTGGTCACATGGTGGTTCTCTACCCCAAAATGGAAAGACTTGTAGTCTCTTTCTCACACCTCTGAAACTAGAAATTTATTTTCTGTGATACAAAATCAAAAAGCAAAGCTTAAGCAGGCACCTCGGGGTTGATCTCAAGTGAACATCATTTTTCTAAGAATCTTTTCCACTGTCCACTGTGTTCCTCAGGAACCCTGACATCTTTTCTACCTGTCACCATCCAAACAGAGGAACCAACAACTGAGAACTGGGTTACTCCAACACTTTCTGCTTCTTTGTCTTTAACCTCTCATTCCACATCATTGTACACCAACCATTCCAATAACATCACCTTTGCTGTGCTCCAAAATCTACAAAAACTCTTCAAATGTCAAGAACAGACACCTGTGTTGGATTTTTACATCACTCATGAAAGGACATTGCTAGTGGGAATGTAAAATGGTGCACTTACTTTGTAAAACAGTTTGGAAGTTCTTCAAAATGCTAAGTATATTGTACCATATGACCCAGCAATTCCATTTTTAGGTATATACCCAAGAAAAATGGAAAGAAAACACAAGAACTTGTACACAAATGTTCAGAGAAGCATTATTCACACTAGCTAAGTGTCTATCACCTGAAAAATGAATAAAACAAAATGTGGTATATTCAGACAATGTGATAATATTTAGCAATAAAAATGAATGAAGTACAGACCTCCCTCAGCTTACAGAAGAGTTACATCCCGATAAATCCACCATAAATTGAAAACATCGTTAAGTCGAAAATGCATTTAAAACATCTAACCTACTGAACATCATAGCTCAGCCAAGCCTACCTTAAATGTGGTCAGAACCCTTATATGAGCCTTGATGTGTTAGCCACTTAGTCATGTCCGACTCTTTGCGACCCCATGGACTGTACCCCACCAGGTTCCTCTGTCCATGGAATTCTCCAGGCAACAATACTGGAGTGGGTTGCCATACCCTCCTCCACGGGATCTTCCCAACCCAGGGATCAAATCCACTTCTGTCTGCAGCACTTGCAGACAGGCTCTTTGCCACTAAATTCACCTGGGAAGCCCTATATATGATGTATGGAATATGACATAATTTTAAAAGATGAAAAAGAGACTATACTCTGTGGGTTTTTCTTCTTGTTTTGTGTACTTTCACTCACTCATCCTGGGTTTCCCTTTCCCTTCCCAGTATTTGCAGCCTTTTCTTGAAAGCCACATCCACAGTCCTCTGTGGATTTCTGGCCAGCATGGAACCCAAGGGTCAAGGAGGGAGGCTGCCCAAGTGGGACAGGATTGACCTCCAACATAGCTCAGTAGCTTTCATGGAAAGCATCGGATTCTTTTACTTATTTAATCTGTGAACTCCTTTTTCTCTCCTTGGCTATCCAGCATTTCTTTTCTCCAGTCTAAATAGGTATCTTCCATTCCCCAGTCATTAAATGCCACCTCTAAGCTACAATGTATCTCAGCTGTGTTTGCCCAGCACCCTCCCATAGGCAGCCTTTCCAATGCAGGCAGAGAAGCCAGGGAGGGAATTTATTACAAAATTCCTTATTACTTAAGGAATTAAGACTAGGAATACAGGCTAATCCTACCACCGAGACTTCGGAATGAAACCTCCCAGTGAGATTTTCTTTTCCCTTTCTGAGGCATTATTTCTTCCATCATGAAAGGCACCCACGTAGCAGTCTCAAAAAAGATCATTCTTCAGAGTGCAATGTGACAACTACGAATTATATATTTTGTGGTCCATGTGCTCCCATTTTCCCCCCAATTGAATCTGCCAGAAAGGTTCAACAAAGCGGCAAAAATGTTCACTGGCATTTTAATGTGCTTACTTAGCAGGCCCCGGAAACAGTTGGCAACAACAAACACAAGTTCAAGTTCATCAACGAGACTCAGGTTGGTCTTTACTTAGCTGGGAAGAGATGCCACCAGGGCAAGTTGGGATGACCCCATGCACCTAGGGAACTTTCTTTTCTGAAAGTGCCTTGTACTTTTTGGCCTGAAGCAACTGTAGCCACAGCAGATGGATGTGAACTTGTAGGCATGGAAGCCGCAACTGACAAAAAGAAGAAAGATGGGAATAAGGGAAGAGAACAGGGTGGCTGCTTGGGACCATACTGGAGAGGACTTGGCATTGCCTTCTTGTCCCTTAGGCCCTGCCTCCTGAGTTACTGTAGCCGAAGACTGCAAAGCCAAGGGACGGTGTTGGCTAGAAGTCAAAGGTGAGGAAGAAAGAAGAACAAATTGAGGTCTGCCATCCCCTAGCATCTTTACTGAATATTCTTCATGTTTCTCTCCACCCTTTTCCTCTGCTTCACACCCCAGGAGATAACATCTATATAGACAGTATCAAGGGTTCCCTTAGACTTCTGGCTTTGGGTTGGGCTTAACCACCAGGAGGTACCTTGAGAAGACTGATGGTCAAGAAGAGAGAGAGGTTGGGGTGTTTGTCCCCCAGCTCCCTCCTGACCAGGTGTGGTTTGGTGGAGACTGCATTCTTCTGCGGCACAGTCATGCTCAGACAGGCATCTCCGACGGTTAGCGTAGGGTTAGAGCCAGTCCCGTGTTCTATTAACCATGCTCTCCTCCGGACCCTTCAGGCATTGGCATGGCAACTGCTTCCTCTTCTGTTGCTAGCCCTGGAGTCATACACCATGCCTGGCCATGCCTTGCTGATTTCCCTTACCTCTTCCCAAACCTTTGTAAATGTTTTGCTAAAATCTCTTCAGTCAGCCCTTCTGGGTATGCTATGCCACTTGTTTCCAGCTGGGATCTTGACAGATATAGCATCTTACTCATACCCACAGGAAGATTTCTCCCATGATACCACAACTAGATACTCTCTTTAAGGGCAGGCACGTGGTCACCCTAGCGCCTGACCTGTAGAAAGTTCTTAAGAGGGACTTTCCTGGTGGTCCAGTGGCCAAGATTCTGTGCTTCCAATACAGGCGGCCTGGGCTCAATTCCTGGTTAGGGAACTAGATCCCACATGCTGCAACTAATAGTTTGAATGCAACAACTAAAGATCTTGTATGCAACAACTAAGAACAACAACAACAACAACAGGTCCAAAAAAAACTCCAAATGGTTGAGCATATGGATGAGTAGAAATGAGATCTGGAAACTGAAATTGGAGCCATCTATTATAAAGTGGTGTCAAGAAAGAAAATTAAATACACACGGGGGAAAAAAAAATCTACTAGGAGAAGAGAAGAGGGATTAAGACTATGTATT